TTAGCTTAACTTCCCATGCTCCAAAATCTTAACTAGAATTGTACAGAGGAGGATGGAAAAAAGGGCGAATGAACTAATAGGGCCAGATCAATTTGTGTTCAGAAGAAATTGAGGAACACGGGAGACCATTCTAGCTTTACGGGTAACAACAGAGAAAACGATAGAAAAAAGAAAGAGGGCGTACATAAGATTTGCATATTTAAAAAAAGCTTTTGACTATGTCAAATGGGACAAGATATTAAATATACTTAAAAATGTAGGGATGAATTACAAAAATAGTAGAGTAGAGTGATACTTAGTTTTGTTAAAGCTGTATGTTTGGAGCGCGGCACTGTACGAGTGCGAATCATGGACGGTGGGCGCGGCGGAAAACAAATGGTTAAAGGCGTTCGAAATGTGGTGTTATAGGCGAATGATGAGGATACCGTGGATAGAGAAGGTTAGAAGAGGTATTAGAAAGGGTAAGAGAACAGAGGGCTCTATGGAAATCAATAAGGAATAGGCGAGATAGGTTAGTAGGATAGCTTCTCAGGCATGAAGGTCTAGTCAGAGACATATTAGAGGCAGAAATGGAAGTAAGGAGATTTAGAGGTAGACATAGATTGCATTACTGTTCGCAAATAGTTAAGGATATGGGTTGCTCTAGCTTAGGGAAATACGAGAATTGGCGCGGGATAGGAAAGAGTAGAGGTGCGTGTTCAACCAGTCTTAGGGCTGACGACCTTATGATGATGATACGTTAAAAGAGCATCGTAAAAAAATGTAATTAACACAATTCTAAGTATGTTACGGTTTACGGTTCATTTACTATTTGTACCTATCGAAAAATAATCATCATCATAAGGTCGTCAGTCCGAAGACTGGTGGGAACCGTGGAGGTACGGGTCCAACCAGTCTTAGGTCTGACGACCTTATGATGATGATACGTAAAAAGAGCATCGTAAAAAAAATGTAATTAACACAATTCTAGGTATGTTACGGTTTACGGTTCATTCACTATTTGTACCTATCGAAAAATAATCATCATCATAAGGTCGTCAGTCCGAAGACTGGTTGGACCCGTACCTCCACTCTTTCCTATCCTGAGCTAAACTTCGCATTTTCTAAAACTAGAACAACCCTCATCCTTAACTATTTGCGAACAGTATTGTAATCTAGGCCTACCTCTACCCCTTCTAATTCCTGTTTCTGTCTCTAATATGTCTCTGACTAGACCTTCATGCCTGAGAAGGTGTCCTACCAACCTATCTCGCCTATTTTTTATTGACTTCCATAGAGTCCACTGTTCTCCTATTCTTTCTAATACCTCCTTATTTCTAACCTTTTATACCCACGTTATCCTCATCATTCGCCTATAACACCACATTTCGAATGCTTTTAACCTTTTCTTTTCCGCCGCGCCTACTGTCCATGTTTCGCACCTGTACAACGCCGTGCTCCAAACATACACCTTTAACAACCTTTTTCGAATTTTTAAATTAACTGTGCGCGAGCATAGAAGTGACTTCTTTTTATTAAAGGCGACACGACCCTGCGCTATCCTCTGCTTTATATCGCTATTACTCCTTCCGTCCTGACTTATCTAACTTCCTAGATATCTAAAATCAGTCACTTCTTCTAATTTTTCGTCTCCTATCTTGATATTCGCTCTTTCCTACTTTTTCTTCCCTTGCATATCAGTATTTTAGTTTTACTTTTATTTATTTTCATACAGTACTGATCTGTCAGTACCGCTTCCATTTTATTTAAAGCTATCTCTAGGTCCTCCTTACTAGATGCTAATACTGCTATATCATCTGCTAATTTAAGCATACTAATCTTTTGCCCCTGTATATCTATCTCTACAGTTGTACTGTCTTTAATGATGTTGATCGCTGAAAAATGATACTCAGTAATAATAAATTGTTAGTACAAGGAAATTAAACTATAAACGCTTTTAAACGTTTCAATAAATTAGTACCAATGGTATTTCAAAAATCCGCCGAGACTCCTACAATTTTTAAAATTAACATCCAGGTACTGCTGCTTACATGAAAATGCACATGAATGTGCGGTACATGCCGGAGTGTAATAAAGTTATTCTTTCAACACTGCAATGTCATCTTCTTTCGATGTACTCATGTTTGACAGTACTAAGTAAGCTAAATTCTGGAAGTCGATTCAGATGTGTGCAGTAATCTATATATATCTATAAATGAATCCCTCTTTCCCTTGGTCATGGCATCACGCGTGAACGGCTGGACCAACTTCGCTAATTCTTTTTTTGTTGTGTTTATTATTGTCAGAAGGAGGTTTTGTGAAAGAAAACTTAAGAAAGTTGTGCGAAACATTAGAAAATTTAAGAAAACAAAACGACCACATACTTGACGTTTGACATCACCGTCAGTTGTCTCACATAACTGCCAGCGACTGACAGAATGTGCTCTGCAACTATCTCTCACAAATGCATCCATCGGAATTATATTGATATACTGGCTGATCCGACAGACTCTTGTCTTAATTATGAATTTTGAATTCGAATCGGTATAATTAATAAAAAATAATAATTTTGTTGGCATACCGATACGGGAACAGGCGACATACAACTGGCCATGCGAAAAACATGGATTTTCGGGATTGATGCAACAGACTCTTAGCGATTGCCTTTGGTATTTATTTATCTAATGTTCCCCGTCACCAAGGGAAATAGGGATTCATTTTTATACATCATTAGAATAATAAACATAATGCTTTGAATAACTATCTTCTTTATTAATCGTATCAATATACATATAATATTCATAGTTAAGACAGGACAACGGACGGATCCACTAGTATGAAATAAAATTCCAAAGGTGCTGTTTGTCCGTTCTGGGTTGTCCCTTTGAATCCGATGTATGTGCTGAAAACTTTACCGTAGTCTGTATTATTTATTACAGAGTGGATACTACAAAGGCCGCGATGTACACATAGACTATTTTACATTACTAAATTGCTAAGTCGGAAATGTCTGAAAATCAGTTACGTGGAAAATAATTAGGTTTCACTACGATGCAATTGAAACAGACGATGCAAAAGATGAAACGGAAGTTACAATTACTTATCCAGATAAAAATTTACCTGTTGATGTTAACCTCCGGTTAATTTTTTTGTTCTTTTGTACTCTTAATACCATGTGGAGGTGTACTTGAAAAATTACCCACTGCATACTACCAATGATATACAAAGTAGTTATTTAATTAATTTTGATCGTAATGGACGTCTAAATATTATTGTATAGTAGTATCCGTCACTGTTTACATTCTCCGTTGATTTAACTAAGTTGATATCGTATTTTCTCTGTACGCTTTCAGTTCTTGCCCAGAGTCAGCTTCGGATTGCAAGTTTGTCGTGTTTCTTAAAAATGTTTCTGACCCTAATCACGCTACTTCACTCACCGTACAATTCCCTATTGCATCTAGTTAACACCTTTCAAAACTTCCTACTCATTTGTGAAACAGCTATAGGATAATACTGTGTATAAGTATAAGTTATGGTATATATTATGCATAACAAGCTATTGATAGTTTCGAAGTGTTTTATTGTTTTTATTAATGATTTTGTGTACAATGAAAGGTGATCAAGTATTCTTCATCCGGAAAAGCAACAAAAATCATAATTTTATGTGTATCATTGTCAAATCGAAGGTATAAATAAAAAAACACTTGGTTTTTGTCCCGAATTCTTATAACCTACCTACTCATTTCTTTACACTAATTCATTGAATTCTACAGAAGTACGACATTATCAAAAGCACAAATGTACTTGATATAGACCAGCCTGCTGTTAATGTGATTGTCGAGGCTCTTCACAAATTTCCATAATTGGTTCTTCTTACATCTGAAAATGTTTTAGACAAAAGCTGTATTCGTTTGAAGAGAAAATCAATAGGTAACCTTAAGTATATCCTAAATTTTTACCTTCTAGGTCATTTTATTTTTTTTATACATATTTTTGACCTCAGCAGTGAAAAAAGCCGGAAATTTGATATTCTGTAATACCTTTGCAGCTGAATTAGTTTTAATTTTTCACATTCCGAATGCCTTTTTTTTTAATAAATTTTGTATAATTTACCCTTGTTTGTCTCTCCCTTTATTTCAACTCACGTATCCGCCCTTAGGGAATTCAATTAATTACACCGAGGTCTTCATTTTTGTAACTTTTTAAGCACTATCTCGTTGATAAAAAACAATAGGGCACTTGTGCAGCTATTTCATGTAACCCTTGTATTACCGAATTGTGTTAGCGTAAAGTTTGTCCATATTCTAATTACTTCGATGTCAATCAGTCAGCTCAATATTAAGTCAAGCAACAGTCAATAACATTTCTCAAAAGTGAAATTATTGTTACTCTCATTACTATAGCATTTAAAACAGTCTCATCCATCAGCGGTTTGTAACACACAAAGAAAACAGACATTTGATCTCTAAAATGCAGAATATCCTATTAGGGTGTTTCTCAATTTCGGTTATAATGCACCAAATAATCACAAGACAAATCTCACAATAGTATTTGATTGGGATTCGTCTTTCTACACAATCCTTTAATTCGCAAACTCTCAACAACGATCGGTTTAAAAACAACTTGATCCTTAGGAGATCAGATGTTTAGCTATTAGCTTATGAGTAATCTACTGCTCACTGAGTTAACACGGTTAGGAAAAACTTTTTAGAAGAATCGATAAAAATGGTAGGAATTGGGTTAGCAAAAGATTATATTTTTAGGTGAAACTGATTAATGATTTGCTTACAAGCGATTCTTCTCATTATAATCAGAAAAAGATGAAATTATGAACATATTTAGTCTAAAATCAAAATACGTTAGTCGTCCTTTACACTGTATCCCATCATTTACCTTACAATTCTTCTTCATACGTTCTCCTTAAGTTAAATAAGGTTGATTACTGTTCAGTATCAATACTGTTATTTTTTATTAAACGAAATAGCTTGATGATAACTTCTAAACTATTGCTGTTGTTGCAGGTCTCCAGCGTCACATGCCTTCCATCAGCAACCAAAAATGATGGATCGTGTGAGAAACTCATCAGGCATAATTCTCATAATATTCGCCGATAGTCAGGTGTACATTTGAAAAAACGGTTTAAATTGTAAACAATATCACAGATGTTATGGATAACAATTTGCTGAGACTTAATGAGACAGATGCCATTCTTCTAAACAGTTCAGCATATGGCACGGAAGAGGAACAAGAATGGACCGATATCTTTTTCCTTATAATCAAAATTATCTTGATGAGTACCATTATAATAAGTGCAATATTAGGAAATCTGCTTGTCATCGTATCTGTGATGCGACATAAAAAACTTCGAATAATAACAAATTATTTCGTAGTGTCTCTAGCTCTTGCCGACATGCTTGTTGCCATGGTCGCGATGACTTTTAACTTTTTAAACCAAGTATACGGAAAATGGGTATTTGGATACTTCATGTGTGACTTTTGGAACTCCATGGATGTATATTTTTCGACTGCTTCCATATTACATCTGTGTTGTATTAGTGTTGATCGATATTATGCAATTGTAAAACCGTTAAGGTATCCAATTAATATGACTAAGCGAGTAGTAGCCATAATGCTCGTATGTACATGGGTTTGCCCTGCCGTTATTAGTTTTGTGCCTATATTTAAAGGTTGGTACACCACACAAGGGCATCAGGAATTCAGGAAGCAGCATCCTGATATCTGTGATTTTCGAGTGAACAAACCATATGCCGTAATAAGTAGCAGCATATCCTTTTGGATACCCTGCACCATAATGGTTTTTACGTATTTAGCAATATTTAGAGAAGCGAATCGACAAGAAAAGGAACTCTACAATCGTCACGGAAACGCTCTTCTACTACACCAAAATAATACAAATGGCGACATGCTCTCAAATTCTGGCGGCTCATCGAAGAATTTAACTCTCCACGAGGTTAATCAAGATCTTCATCATACACCTACTAAAGAGAGGAACTTGATGAAATTAAAGCGTGAACATAAAGCCGCGCGAACTTTAGGTATAATCATGGGAGCCTTCATCCTGTGTTGGCTTCCCTTCTTCCTGTGGTACGTGATAACTTCTTTGTGTGATTGGTGCGAAACTCCTGAAATCGTGATTGCCATAGTGTTTTGGATCGGTTACTTTAACTCGTCATTGAACCCGCTTATCTACGCTTACTTCAATCGTGACTTTCGGGAAGCTTTCAAAAATACTTTAAAGTGTGCTTTCTGCAGTTACTGCAGGCGTAGGCCTTCTGACTTGGAGGCGCTGGACATACGTCGACCTTCCTTGCGTTATGACGATCGAACGCGTAGTGTTTATTCAGAAACGTACTTGAAAAACATTGACAGAAGATGCTCCGAATATGGATCGAGTCTTTGAGTAGATCTTACTAGTAGTAGGCTTACTACGACAAGTTTCTAAACCTGCTACTAGTAAATGACAAGTGTGGTTTTTGTAATTCGCCGAATCGCCCCGCTTCGAAACAATTAAGTCTAGTTCCAAGTAATATATGGTGCTATTTTTTAATGAATGACAGCACTTTTTTGAGTGATATTGTGATAATAAGTGCGAAAAGGCAGAAAGCAAAACGACAGGCCATTATACTGAGAGAACCCGTTTAAAGCCTCCAAAAATCAAAAGCAATATTGTCAGTAAATCCTACCGTTATTCAACTAAAAGGCCTACTTAAACAGTTTGTTATAATAATTATTATGTTGATAAAGCATTTTTCAAAACAAAAAAAAAACAATATGAATGCAGTTACACAATGTTTACTGACTAATCACTTTCAAATATTATATGGCTGTTGGGATATATTTTCCGAATTCTGAAAATATTGTTATAATTAATGCAGATATTTACACTTACATGCGATTTAATTGATTTATAATTAGTTAAAGATAATTGTGTCTACACTGAAATCGTATCGATGCGATATTTACATTATTAAATTAAATTTTTCTGATTTGATTTCGTGTGGTTTTGAACGACTGATAAATAATAATTGATAAAATTAGTAAGACTGCATTATTTTAATTGAAATGCGATTTACTAAACGTTATTTAAAAAATGGTTAATCATTTAGGCCTTTTAGTTACCTTTTTAATAACCTATTGAAGCAATCTTTTCAAGAGTGATGTCATTTCTTGTTAAGCTGTCTACTAACTTAGGATGTAAATAAAGTGCATGCATACATGTATGCACCCGTACACAATATATTATACTCATCTGTAAAATATTCAAATGTTACTACTACCTAAGTATTGCTCTCGCATGGTGTTAAATTAGAATGTATATTAATACTATTTATACTTATGGTAATCAATAACAGTAGACATCTTTATGTTAACTAATTCTGCAATGTGATTACTGTACTCTGCTTCAATTTTTTCATTAATTTTATTAATTAAGGGTTTGGTTCATTAAACGATATTATCAAAATTATTAGGTAATCGTTCAAGCTATAAATATCCCACAAATGATTCTGGTTTCAAATTTAACCTAACCATTGTGTTGCATTTTGTAACAGAATCTTGCTGATATTCCACTAATCTGGACGTTCTTTTGCAAGGATTTTTAGCTACATTCTGTTGTAGTTATTTCAATTGCATTGATAAAAAGAAGATTTAGTGATATTGATCGTGAACGGAAATTGAAGCAGTTCTTGAAAATTACAATATATAGGTAATTAATATGAATGAGATAATAGGGGAAACCATTTTCGGAAATTAATACACGCTAATAAAGTTATGAAACCTATTATCGTCAATTACATTAATTTCTATTAAAAACATGATAATTCGGGTGAAAATGGCATGAATACAAAACGATGATTCGCCCTCGAATGCAACTAATAATGATATAGGTATACAACAATTTGGTGCAAGTGGCTGAAAATTAATTGGATAGCTGAAATTGTTTATAAAATGACTAAAGATACGAGGGGTGATTGATAAGTACCGTGTTCTTTTTGAGACAATTGTATCTTCTTACATCGACACACTTAGCTCCAACTTTTTTAAGCTCTCCGAAAAGTACTTTTTGTCAAACTGCGAAATATTACTCAGTTTTAGTAAAGAGGAGGTCATTTCCGGCCGATCGAACTGTTGGTGCATGTTTTTGCGTGCAGTCCACTGGTTTGACTGTTCTTTAATTTCAGGCGTATAGTGACCTATCCAGTCAGTCACAGTCACATAGCGGCACAGAAACGCCTTCGGATTGCGCTTAAGCAGGTCCAAATTCTGCTGTGAATTGGTCATTCAACGCGGCATCCATCTTGACAATAGCTTTACCATGCCCAAATGAAATATATTCTGCGTATGTTTATATGAGATGCCTATGATCTCTACAATCTCTCTTATGTTCATTCGCGGGTCTGCCTTAACGCTTTTCGTCTACGACGGACGTATGATCACGCTTGAATTTATTGAACCAATATCGGTTGTTGTCTTCGCATGGAGTCCCCATGAGGGATGTCCAAGTTTCCTTTAATTTCCGTACACGTCTTCCCATACAAAAACAAGAGTCTAGTCATCAATCGCTATTGCACTTTTTCCATAATTAGAAAAATCTGTCATCTGTATTCAAACGCGGATACTTATCAATCACCCCTCGTAGTAGAATCTGTACCTGATTTCATAATGCTTAATACACTGCGGTGTTTTTGCTCTCAATTTATTTTATAATGCAGTGAATTTTCGGATTTATTATGTTTTAGGTTATAAACTGATCTAATGCTATGAATCAAAATTCCACATAAAACGTAAAAACATAGTCTAACAGTTGGTTACAAAAATGCGAACTGATCGAATATAGTTTCTATTTTTTTCATAAGATTCGTCTAAGATAGTTGCCATTTTGTAGAAGTCATTGCTGCTGCAAATAGGGTGGTAAAGGTCTTTTCCGTAAATAAAAATGATCGATTACAGTTCTGCAAATTTGTATATTGTTTCATTTATAGCTTATGAAATTGTTTAAAATATTTGCTGAAATGTAGGTCGTAACCTAACCTTTCCCAGAAACGATAAAACTGCGAACGGAAGATGAAGATTAACATGACTATAATACAGTTCTACAACTTTGCATACATCAAGAATACTAATTAATAAACAGTTTAATTAAATATAATATTCTCCCGTCATATATATACATATATTCTCGTCAATCTCCATCTTTTGTCAACAGCTTTATCGTTTTTGGGAGAGGTTAGGTTACGACCTACATTTCTGCAAATCTTTTTAACAAATTCATAAACTATTAATGAAAGAATTTGCCTACCAATTTGCAGAACTAAAATCGATTACTTTTATTTCGGAAAAAGACTGCACGATGAGCGCTTTTATCACCCTAGTTACAGTAGCAATGATCTTACATGACGTCATCGGAATTTTATGACAAAAAATATAAGCTATATTCGCTGAGTCCGCATTTTTTTCAGGTTTCAGGTCACGTGAAAATTTAAAAATCGTTTCTATTTTCCATTTATTAATTTTCTCTTAATGTAAAATATCTTTTATTAGATGTACTCATAAGCATTTTCTATAACTTCTCCACTCATTTTTCTAGTTGTCGGGCAACGTATTCGATAAGACGACATTTTAAGTAATTTCGTGATTATTTATCAATTAATTTACCAATTATGTTTAGTGTAGTAGTAGAATTACTATAGAAAATGTTTCTGTATTTTCTTCTGCTTCAAAAATGTGATTATTAGCTAAATGGATTGTGACATGCCGAAACAGTCGCATTTGTATTCATGCAGCATATATCCATTTGAAACAGACTATAAAACAAAGGACAATAAGGCGTTTGTATAAATTATTAGAACTGTCATAATACTTGAGATAAATATTACGTAATTGTAGTGAGCAGAAAAAATTTAAATTATTAAAATATTACAATTTGTTTATGTAAAATAAAATAAAACCTAACATAAATTTTGAATGTCAACCTTAGATACAATTTTTTAAAGGGAAAATGAAAAATTCAAGAGGTATGCTTCAGGACAAATATTGAATTGTTTTCTACCTAAGAAAACAAACTACATTTATCATGTAAGAGTTTCAGGAACAGAAAATCAAGTTATATTTTCAAGTCACAACCTTTACGAAGTTGGTTTTTAGGTATGCATGAGGAAAATTACATCAAATTCTTCAACAAAAAATACGACAGTTCTATTTGACTGAATTTTAAGAATACGGACAACTTCGTTTTGTATGAATATGTACGTTTTTCTATATATAACATGCAAATGAGTGGTTATTTGAACACAAATGGAGAAAAAAAGCGCACAAAATAGTAAAATTAGAAAAATTTGAAGCAGAGTATTAATTCTTACTGTTAACTAAATCTATCCACAGACAATGTGTCGTTTTATAGGAATAGTTAATCAACGAATCGTTTTTATTATCCAAAAACGAACACTCCCAACTTAAACTGCTTAGAATTTAAGGCGAAATCAGTGTTAGATGTTTGATGTTGAACTCTTGTACTTTGTGTTTTCTGTTCTCTTATTTTAGTTGTTTTGAAATCTAATCATTCTTAACTTAAGATACTAGCGAGATACAATCAAAGACATAGAAAACATTTTATTATTGTCATTATTCTATTAATATAATTTTTTGATTCAATTAGCGATCTACCCTTCATTTCCACGGTTTTTAATGTTCTATCGACTGCAATTAAATAATCTAAATATTTTATTGCAAAGATGTATTACAAATGAAGCCTTTAATTAAACAACACGTACTTAACAAAAAACATTAAAAAATAAAATTAATCATTACGTAGGAGTTGCAAAAGGATCATCTGTCACGTATATATTTACAATGATCAAAGATCGTCATATAATCTTGTCAGTAAAGGTAGAATCACTCTCGGACAGCTTAGTGTTCCATTGGTGAACGGTTTACCCCTTCATACTCCCTTAGAAATTACGGTAAATGATCTTCTTTTACTGAAAATAGTTTAATATAAGAACAAAGGCTTTCACGGCCGGAATCCATAGTAGAATGAAGATTCGGGCTACAGGGCCGTGGTCTAAATGAACTATTCTGTCCAGGCGTTTCGTCGGCTACTGCGGCTGGTAGTGCTGCGTTGAACGTAGATTATATCTCGATATCTCGACAGCAACTGTAGTGGATATTCGGAATAATTGACCACAATGCGATTCTTGTTCACAGTCGCTGTCGAGACATCGAGATATAATCTACGTTCACGTTGTCAACGCAGCACAACCTCTGAGGATGCCAGCCGCAGTAGCTGACGAAACGTCTGGACACAATAGTTCACTTAGACCACGGCCATATAACCCGAATCTTCATTCTACTATGAAAATAGTTTTATTCCTATTTTTTATCATGTTATTCGATTTTGTTTAATTCGCCAGTGATATGTATCCATGTACATACTAACTAGTTCCTTGAAGTCATGAACACTACCAATAGTGTATTTCCTACTGGCTTTTCCCCGTGACTTCGCTCGCAGAAATTGATATTGTTTCTCTCTAAAACCTTTTGACTCCCAATTCACCACTAGAAAGTTTTAATTTTATGTAACGTCACCATCTTAGACTTCTAATACAAATGTAGCATCAACATTTCATCCGTAGGGATTGATTTTTAAAAATTGCCAAAACATGTATTTGCTTAATTTCAACAAAGAGTATTAAAAAGCAACTTTTGAGTAAATCCGACTACAAATAAAATATACCCTATAAAACCGTTGCAACCTCTTTTCATTTGATTAATTATATCAAAGAGAATAAACACCACGATTCAAGTAAATTCAACCACAAATAGAATATGTCACAAACAAAAATTGCAACCCCTTTTTTTTAGGCCCCTCCCTTTGGGGGTTGAATTTTTTAAAATACCGAGATAGGTGTTTTTCAATTTAAATGAGAGAGCATTAACATCAAGTTTCAAGTAAATCTGACCAAAAAAAAAATGTTCTATGTAATATTTGCAAACCTCTTTCAGCTTGCAGAGGTTGAATTTTTTAAAATGTTAAAGTAGGTATATCAGTAATTTTATATGAATGAGCATTAAAACCAACTAATATCTAACATTTAAACGTTACAACCCTTTTCAATTCCTTTCAGAGGTCGATTTTTGTAAAATGCTGAAATATGGTTTGATTTTATGGCAATGAGCAAGTTTCATGTAAAACTAAACAAAAACAAAAATGTCAAAATTTATAGCATGAAGGTTTTTCCAAATAAATACTATCCAAATTTCCGGATTTCCCCGTGTATTTGTCAAAAAATTTCATTCATTCAATTCCCTAGAATTGACAGCTAGGAACAGTTTGAATTTGATTTTTACGTTTTTCTGGACAATTTTTTCAATTTTTCTCTTCATAAGAACCTTCCTCGAAATATTTAAAAAAAAATTATCGAAATTAGTCCAGCCGTTCTCGAGTTCTAGTCGGCCTTTTAATACCGTTTACTTACAAACATTGAAAATAGTGATTTTAATTTTAAGGAATACATAGAATACAAAAAGGATCTCGGATAGGTTTTAATAAGTAATTTCAAACAAGGTTGACATATCAACAGGGAAACCAAATTGTATGTATAACTTACAGTGAAATACACAAAGAATTTGGTTTTAAATGTTCTGCATTTAATCGCCTGCAGAAATTCAATTATCGTAAAAATTGGGTGATGAAAATTTTATCCAATTCCACGTTGCTTTATGTCAAACTTTTAATTAGAGTAATGGTGAATTAAATCGTGAAAAGGGAATATGAGTCGGTAAATGGTTTTATGTCCAGTTTGTTGGTTTATTTGAAAAAAATCTGCAATTTTACGTAAAAGGAAGGCAAATAATTCAATCAATTTTTCAGACTACATTTCACAATAATGTTATGTAATAATTTCATAAATACAATGTTAAACTGGATCATATTCAGATTAAAAATTTTTACTAATTTAAAACTTTTTGAAGAGGCCTTGTTTAATAATGAAACCTTAATGAAATAATTATAAATAGTGTCTATGTTGGCCTCACTCTTATTTTGTTCATAAAATAAAAAATCAATAAACATTACATTTTTAAACATTCTTCAATCATTTGTGCGTTGATTTATAAAACCACCTTAAAGAAAACAGTAAACTAGAGTGAACTGAAAAGTATTTTATCTTACATTCACATTCGCCTTTAAAAGTAATGGTTCATTTCTCCTAAATACATTTTGTGAAAACTTTATTTCGGTAAAATTTCTGGCCCTTTTAACGGAAGTTCGCTTACCATTGAATCAAAGGAGTTTACGCCTTAAAACTGAGTTGCAAATAAAATGGATTTTCTCAAGGAACAAAAAAGTAAAAGAACCTAGGCACTTTTCAATCGCAACTTTTTGCTTAATCAGAGTCCCTTACCCTTGTGTGGGTTCTCTGCTGCCGCCGCGTCAAACCGCCTCCACCTCCATCAAGAAAACCGGACTTCTATTTCGTTCGCTTTTAGCCAGCACTCTTAAAGCTCAGTCGGAGCCCAGAAATGAATGTATTTGTTATCTGCAGGCGAATCGAATCGTGACGTGTTTCCGAAAGCGGAAGCGGATATCCGTCATCAGCAGGCTTTTGTAGAATCGATGGCGCCAAACTATCGATGCCTTTGGTTTAAAGTAACAAGAATAGCTATTTTTAGTGAACGAAAATGCAACTGAAATAAGTTACCTAAACGAGTTCTATCTCTATACAAATTGTTATCGTTTGTTCGATGAAATTATCAAAATTTCACACGAGATATAACATTACAAAGAAAAGTAAGATTGAAGTACCTACAATTCAATTTATAATATTTAAAATTATGCTAAAACTTATTATTAGTGAATTTAACCCCACAATCAAATATTAAACTTCCCAAGTACGCGCAGTCGGTACTTTTTAAACCTGGGAACAAGGGGGAATCGTACTTGACAAAGTATATTTTTACTTGTAGAAGTTTCATAGCAATCTCTACGTGAAAGATGGTGATACTTTGAATTAATTTTCTTAAGTGATTGCATTAAATTTCATAGAGCATTCAGATATATGAAGACGAAGGAGAATTTTCTTTTTACCTTACCAATGTCTCTACATGCCCATTGTACACATACTAAGAAGTGCTGAAATTAACAGTTACTGCCACTGATGCTATCGGGTGTGCTGATTATATAACAGTACAGCTCGTTGTCTAAGCTTATAGGTACGTTAACTTGAACACTGATTGGTAAGTGTGTTTATTGGTATTTAATATAATTCGAATAACATAGCATAATAAAACCTTATTTTAAATACTATAACTATGATGTTGTTACAGTAAATATTCTATTTTGGGTTTTTTGGTTTTATTCCCGATTGTAGGAATTTTCAACTGTAGCGAGGTGGTTGTTATATTTCCCTTGAAATTCCTGGCGCAGTTGTAGGAGAAACTTCAGAAAGGAATTACTAAAAACAACTGCCAAAAAGCCCAGAACAAAATATTTAACTTTATTAAAGTCGCCGGCCACGAAAGCATACACCATTAGATTTATGTGATGTTGTTCCCATACTAAATTTCAATTGCAGCATAGGAAGATGATTTAGTAGCTAAATATTTTTATGTCTAATATTGTGAAAGAATCTCAAAGAATCAAAAATACAAATGGGCAAACTTTGACTTATTGTATCCCCAGCTTTCATTTGTATATGTTCTTTCGTATATTTATTTAGCTTAATTGCATACTGTTTCATACATTGTTCTCTATTTTGTAGATAAATTAAAAATATGCTCTTCCATATTTTCGAAGAAATGTAAGTGTAAAAAAGTTTAGGTAAATGCTTATGCTTTATTACAGTTGTACGTTAATTCTTTGTAATAAAAACGTAAAAGACTCTGATGCTTTTTTAAACAAATTCAGAAATTTTGGTAGAATTTCGGCGTTTTTACAATTTACTCTGCAACCCTGAACTCAATTTCAGAATAGATAATTTTGCCTGGAGACTAAATTAGTTCGTTTCATATTATGTTGGAATTGAGTATTCATATGAAACAACTATTTACCGTTAATTAGAGTTTGTCTTGCAAGAGTGAGCTTACATTAAAGGAAAATAATTTATATTTGCTAGGGTTGTCTGTTGGAGAGCTGCGCAGGAGATTTCAATGTCATCTGCAATATGGTCAAATTTTACGCTAACATGTTTGTATAATAGAATGTTACCTAGGTTTTTAAACAGAAGAAAGTGTCCCAATTTTTTTAAATTAATGATTACATTCTCGAGAAAATGCCCAAAAGACTAGAAATGTTAACCCAGATATATTTAATTCAATTCCCGAAGGTCAGGTACGTATGTTGAAACAAAAGGGGTGACGGACAGGAACAAAATATTGCGAAAAAGGTCATTCGGAATAGGAAATGTTTAAGAGCAAGAGTTTTCCGATCATAAAATTACTTCACTCTTTCTATTGTTGCAGTCAAAAATATGTACTTACTCGATACTCCCAGTAAAAAAAGTGTCTTGATTTTCAAATAATCTCGAAGATCGAAGACAACGTTACATTCAATGTCAGCAATTCATTTCCTCTTCGAAAATAACTTTGTCTAATAAAACATTTTCCAAAATAATGAGGAAACATCAAGATAAATTTCATGGTTTTTTGTCATAATATTTGTCTGCAGTTAAGTATATCGACGTCTATATTTCTGTAATTTTTTGAGCATTGTCCCGAAGATTAAAAAAAAATTGTCTGCATAAAAACATAACCACCCCTAAAATCCGAGCATACTAACAGAAAATTTATTCATATTCCAGACAACGTTAAAATCTCAAACGCAGTTATTCATTAATAGCAATATTTTCAAATGCTTTTTTTTACAAATTTAATACTAATGTTAAAAAAAATCAATCTGTTAGCATTTGAGATCAAATTGGTTTACTACTTTTTATGTGTGTGTGTATTTGTCTAATTAAAAATATAAAAATTTCCTCACTTTAACCACCAACGTATTGTTAAGTATACAACTCACTCTTACCTCTTATATTTTTACCTCCTGTCAAGAAGTACAAGAATAGTTGTAATT